ATTTATTGATGGTTTGAACACTCAAAAAAAAAGGGGGGCGGGGGGGGGGGGAAGATGTTGCCATAGAAACATCGATAAAGCTCCCATCTCCGCTGCGTGATGCGAGCGCTGCGCCTGCATCCCCCGAACCGACGGCCTTTGGGGGGGTGCGAGGCGAAAGGGATCCGAGGTGGGTTTGGGGGTGCCCAGTGTGGGTGGGATGCACGGCTTTGTTGGTCGCTGTCGTGGTGCCTGCAGTGCGAGATGGTCCCTGTGGTGTGAGATGATCAGAGATGCAGGGCGAGGAAAATTCCTTTTCTCTCCTTCGCCATCGCAGCCGGTGCTGTCCTCGTGCAAGGGCCAAATCCTGGATTTCTCCGTATCCCTGCAAATCCGGCATCCTTCCTGCTCTGCAGCCGTGGGGCTGTGACCCACACGTAGCTCCATCCAGTGCCTCCATCGCTGCCCCTGGACCCGCCAGCCCCACGGTCGGTGTTTTCCTGCAAGTGCAGCTCTCCTCCATTCAGCCTTCCCTTACACACGGCTCCCGCTGGGAGCACAGCTCACACCAGCCCTGGCAGCGCCGTATTAAGCGTCTGTCTGCCTGATGGATATTACAATGCACCTCTTGGAACCTGATTTTTTTTTATTTTTCCCATTCCCAACCAAGTCCTGCCATGGTCTTTGATTTTGAGGGCGCAATTTAGCGCTTGCAAATAATTGCCCTCCTTCATTTTTGTGCCTGCGATGAAATATTAGCAGTCGTTCGGTGTCTAACTTGCCGTTAATGCCTGCGAGCTGGGCAGCCAGACCTCTGATTACTGATAACTCTGCACAAAAGCTAGAGCCGTTGTTGGCGTTGGCAGAGCTACCTCTGAAGAGTGGGGCTTGTCCTTCACAGCCATGGCTGTACTGGATTTTTGGGGCTAGCCAGTCCCCAAGCTGCTCCGTTGGCAGCAGAGGGGACCAAAGGAGGACACAGAGCACCCGTTGGTGGCCCTGGGTAGGTGCAGGGGTCCTTGTTTCAGCCCCCGAGTTGTAAGCAGGGCCATGGGACTGTGGCAGGACTGGCGATCCCAGGGCAGGTTTCCGTGCCCACAGCAGGAACTTCTAAGGACGAGATCTTCTCCAGCGCCGCTGCTCTGCCCTGGTTTGCACGCAGGAGCCAGCTCTTGTAAGTGGCATCTTGACACTAAGCAGAATTTGCTGCCTGAGGGACTTTTCCTTAATAGGCAGGAGAGCAGCAACTCTGCGGCTCCACAGAGAGCTTGGAGGGACCTGCTCCTCCCCAACAGCAGCGACAGGCAGTCCCCAGGGAACCATCACTGCCAGGACTGTCCCCCTGTACCCCTTCAACCCCCCAGCCCCTGCCTGGACCCCTGCCCCTGCCTGCTCTGCCCATCCTGGTGTGGCATCCCCACTCTGCCCACACCGCAGTGCCCCAGTAAAGGCCACGTGTGACTGGGGAAGGGACATGGTGGCTTCTTTTTAAGGCACCCTCCTTTTCTCCCTGGGAGTGGTGATGTGAGATGAGATCTGTGCTGCAAGTGCAGCAAATGGGGTATCCACCCCTCCCCAAGGCAACCCCAGCAGCAAAACCCCCCAGTACCCCTTTCTGTCCAAGCAAACCTAGGTGAGATGGAAAGGAAAGATGAGACGGGGCGACTCACAGGAGGCGGGGGGTCAAGTCCAGGCCCTCATCTCCCAAAGCGGAAGGTGAAGCCCCCTTTTTTCCTGTTGTAGCCGCTGACCCCCTCAGCCAGACTCCCCAGCGTGCCGCTGCGCTCCTCCCCTCCCGCCGGCAGCAGCTCGGACCCCCCCTGCCTGCCCTGTCGCTGCCCGCTGCCCCCCTGGCCATAGCCCCTGGGCCGTAGCCTCCAGGCGATGCCCAGCAGCGTGCTCAGCTCCTGGCTCTGCCTCTGCTTGGCACCCAAGTCCTCGGCCACTGCTTGCCAATGGGGCTTGATGGGGGTCCCGTCCCTGGGGTCTCCCAGCTCCTGGTGCTCCTGGAGGGGGAAGCAGGACCCCAGGCTCAGGAGGAAGAGGCAGGACAGAGAGTAGGGTGCTCTCATCTGGGGGAAGCAGAGGGATGGAAAGATGTTGGTAAAGGCAGAGCATCCTTGGGCGTCAAGGGCTGCCCTGGGATAGCGCGTGTTCCCTGTCGCAGCACCCCCAAACCAGCCCTGCCACCCCTGTGACCTGTAAGAAGCACCCCCCCCAGCACCCACTGCTCCTCCTGTGGCCTTCACCCCACATTGGGGGTGCCGGGGGGGGTCTGAGCTCGCTCTGCCTCTCCCTTGTCTCCATCAGAGCTGTTCCCCTTCATCTTTAACAGCTCTGTGCTCCCAAATTACAGCCTTGCAGCTGCTCCTGGGCTCTGCTCAGATGGGGGTGGCTGAGAGGGCCATTAGCCGGGCTGGCTGATGGGCTCCGGAGCTGCTG